GAGCACTGGAACAGGCTGCCTAGAAAGGTTGCAAAAAGATATAAAATACAATTTTATCCAAAGATATTTTCTCAGTAAAATTTTTTTTTGCATTTAATGAAATATGAAGTTACAAAGCCTTGTAGAGCTTTAAAATAAATTTTTAAAAAAGTCTGTATTTTGATAAAGGTAATTATAATAGAAGCATAGTCGAGATGAAGGCATTTTTTAGGATATTTAAGGTTTGTCTATTTCTTCAATGAATTTACAACTTACAAAAGTCATGCAAGTACCAGTAATACATCTGAAAGACTCCTCACCTGAGGAGTAGGAAACATATCACATTCCAAAGATTTCCATCCATAGCAGAAGAGTTACAGTTCCTAAACTGCATTAGAAGGCTAGTTTCTCAATCTTTATCTAATAATTAGGATTAGAACTCTTGAACTTTGAAATCTAAAATTATCATGTTTAAATTCTCCCCCATCAAGTTCAATTTCATGAAAATCGCAGTTCCAAATTTTACTATTAATTACATTTACCTCACAAAAGTCAGGCAAATCAAAGTTCTCCTTATTCAGAAGCATTTACCGTCAAAATAATAAATGCATATTATTCTATATAAGTGCTCTAGTAAAAATGCAAGTTACAGTCTATAGCAACTAGTTATTAAAAAACCCATCTAGTTTAAGAGACACATAGTTATTAATAATTCTTATCTCCACTTGCCTTAGCAGTTATAGCACTATGAAAATGACTCTTAAAAAGATAATCAAGTACCACAAAACAGAAAGCACAACTTAAACTACTTTTCCGGAAGAATTTTTTTTTTTTTTAACCACATTATATTATCTAAAGGAAACTGTTAGTCACATGTTTCTAATAACGTTAGTCAACTTATTTTTAAAAAAAAACACTGCAGATTGCTGATCACCACATGTAGAAAACAAAAATGTGCTTCATCTTTCTGAAATACACCAAGTTTGTTATTGAGAAAATTACTATTACCAGATTAGAGTTTTACATGTAAACCCAGACTAATTATTACTTAAAATTGAGTATGAGGAAGATTTCATGGAAACTTGTCAAGGTATATATCAATATTCAATATATCAATAACCAGCATTGTAGATTAAGGTCATTTCTTAACAAAGCAATTGCACCCATCTTTTGCCCCATCCCTTTGTAAGATATGACTGCTCATGAAACTGAGGAAGTAGAAACAAAAACATGCTCACGCTAGAGTCCATAAAGTTCACAATCTAGAACACTAGTAGAGACCAAGCTCCATCTGTATTTAAACTAATACACCAGGCTGCTGCTCTGGAACACTGGAGACTGAGACACACTTCCCCTTCTAACTCTCAGTTGCAGCAATGTTCACCTCTGACAAATACACAGGCAAAACAACCAGAAGCAGCAGTGGCCTAAGCCACCACAGGCTCTCCAGAGCTTATCTGTGAAAGTCATGACTCAGAGGCAAGTTCTATATATCCTTCAGAACCAATCAACACATTTTGTGGGCTACTCTCATCTGTCCCATCTGGCTAGGAGGCCAGGGAGCCCCATAATCCAACCCCTCATCTGATATATTCCAACACTCCCTCTAAACTAGCAGGTGCAAAACATCAGCTCAGCACCAGCTGGAGATTCCCCCATGGCAACAAAATGCACAGGTGGGCAGATACGGTAGATTTTCCAGGACTTCTCACCCTTCACATCTGCAGTAGGGATATACCAAGTCACAGAATCTGCCTTTTGTTTCTCACTCAAGCATGTGTCTCTTACCTACCTATTACCTCTCTTACCACCTACAATTTAAAACAAGCAGTTTCCTTCAAAGTACAGAAGCTTTTTCAGACTACAGAAACAACTGCAAATTTGATTTGGAAAAAAAATCCCAACAGACTAAGTAGGGTAGTTTGTTTCAGAAGGGGAGGAGCAGGATTTCTGTAGTATTAGAACAGAGACACAGCTTTGACTAGCTACAACCACAAGAAAAAAAAAAAGTATAGTTTCTTTGGATGCTGACATTTGCCTATGCATTGTAGTCATTACTGCAAGCTCCAAGACCAGAATTGTTTTGGTGTATTTCTCATTTTAATTTTAAATTTCTTTGCAGTATCAGCATTCAGAAATTTTAACTTTCACAGCACATTTTAAACGCTTAATTATATTCTTAATGGAGACAGTAGACTAAAAACTAATTGCAAATTTCTAGCATTTATTTTTTTAGTATCCTGATCCATAGTTTTACTTTGGTTTTATAGTAAACATGTATAAAATATTTTCATTTTATTGGTAATCCTGGAGTATTTGTACATGCTCCAGAGGCAAGAAAACCAACAAAAAAAAATTTATGTTGAAGCAGGATTAAAAAAAATAAAAATAAAAAAATACTATTCCTACAGCAGCATTCTAGAAATACAGGAACCTGCAAGTTATTTACCATTTTCATAGGACACAAGATGAAACCTTACACTTAGTACAAATTCATCACATTTGTCAGCTTAAGGTACTGTATGCTTTTGCTTTAGTAATTTAAACCATTCATATTTGTACAGTACTCTGAAGGCATTTACACAGTTCAAACACTACAAATATAAATGTTTGTATTATTACATAGAAGTAAAAATTACTGATTCTTACAGTTTTCTTTAAATTACTCTCTACACAACTTAAAATACTACAGCAAACAGTTTTATTAAGTAAATATAATTATCAAATTTAGAAGTTAAAAAAGCCACCAAATAAAGCTAGGTGTACAAGAAAAACAGCTTCAAATGCTTTTAAAGCACTAACAATTAAGAAATTAGAAGGTACACAGTACACAAAAAAAGAAAAACTAGAGACCACAAAAATTTAATACAGGTATGCCTAAGCAGGGTTACAAAACAGAAATAAAACAGTGTACTCAAAGCTTTCATCTGAATCTTGATTATTCTAATTACTCAAGATGGCTGACACCACAGTATTTTCTCCCAGATATACAGCGTTATCAAGTATTCTCATTTCAGCATTATAGGAAGTATATGCAAAAGAATGGCTTTCTGATACTACTACCTCAACACAATTATCAGCAACAGTAAAAAACATAGTTGCTATAGTTTGATGTCCCTATGACTAAAGAAAAGAAATTAAGAAGTGACACACGAAAGGAAAGATAAGGAAGAAGGAATGAGGTATTTCCCTAAATTAGTTAACATATCAATTCAGAGTTCTCTGAAAGTCAGAGTACGATCTGGACATAACAGCAAAGTCCCCAAAAAGGTGTTTTCTTGTTGGACTGAAGTCAAATTTTGTGAGGTCTCAAAAGTCTCCTTAGTAAAACATATCATTCACACTCTGCATCCAGAAATATCAAGCAACTCAACAGTTGTGGGAAGGATGAAATCCTGAAACACCACAACTAGATGGAATCAACACTACTTCACATATTAAGAAATAAGAATCAGAAAGTTACAGATGACAGGGATATTTTCAGGTCAGCAGCTCTTATTAGCACCCATTTCCAACTTTGTGTGAAATCTCATATATAACAAACTGCTTTCACTAAAGAAATTATCAAAAGCAGCAATTTTTTTTTCCACACTTTTATGTTTAGTGTGTCAATGACTAGGCTTACAGACTGTGTTTAACTTAACTCATTAGATATTTAAGAATACACATTTTAGATAAGCAGCTTCATACACATATGATGCAGTAAATTCATAAGAAACACTTACTGGGTAATTTTTTTGGAGGGACGGAAGGATGGGTTCAGGTAGGGCTATTAAAAAAAACAACAAACACAGTTTGAACTTGCTGTGATTCATGTAATTCACAAGTAACTATCATATCAACTACAAAGGGTTGGACTTAAATTCCATCTTAGAAACTTCACTTTCATGCATTTTGTAAAATAAGTTATTCCACAAATCTTTCTATTACTATATCTTGTATACAATAGTATAAGGAGTTAATTCAGCTAAGGGAAGCTGTTATTAAGATACTGCTATTTGTAGAAGAAATGAAAGATTCTACTGCAGCTGGGTATCACTTGACTTTTAAAATTCATGTTAATTCACAGCTATAAGAAACATATCTAGATTCCCTAAAGGAAAATCAAAGTTTAATTCTGCACCACCCTCCCCACCTCCCCCTTCTAATAAAATGATTCTATCACAGCACAGAAAGTCTCCAGATACTGCATAAGTATACATTCTTCAGCTGCAAAGTATTACATATTGAGTCTCCAAAAGTAGTCTAAAGATAAGAGTAACACCCATTTTGCTAGCCAAATCCCCATAATACATGTAAATACAGTCTAATGCTGTTAGCTGGTCTACTGAATGGCAAACAGATGATAAAGGTCTTACAATTGTTTATTTTGCGTTTGTTAGTATCATTATTTTCTGCAACTTATTAAAGTCATTGATGGAAAAAGCATATATTGCACAATAAGAGTACTAGGAAAAAGTTCATTTGTGAGTGTTTAGAAATTGAACAGAACATCTTATTTCTACAAGTTTCCCAATTCTCTGCCATAATGAAAGACAAGACAACAAAATACAAGCAATGAAGCTATTTCATCTGGGTCTACATAATTACTAGGAAGGTGAAGTTAAGGGGAAACATTACTCCTGAGTGAAAAGGCCCTTTTCCATTAAAAATGTAACACTATCAAATGCTTATCAAGCCACTGTTGAGATGATCACAAAGATACTTTTTTTCCTCTCCTGCTTGTGCTTCACCTTTGCATTGCATCCAGTTGCTCCCAACATTTTCAATCTTGTATCTAATAATCACTTTGGTCTTTTTATATTTAAGTTGCTTGTCATATAATCTCCTCCAAATCAACAGTTATTTTTAAGAATCAATACTGAAGTACTCTGTCACCTACAGTATGGTTTCAGAGCTGTGACAACAGACTTGGCCACATTTTTTCTACTTTCCACAGAAACAATGAAGTTTCACCGTAGTAGGTGCAGAGAAGACAAGACAATCACTGGATAGACTAACTTATGTCCTACTATCCTCATGACTAGTACATTAATAAGCACACAGTATGAGCATCAAAGAATTCAGAAGTAACCGAAGCAACTGGATCCCAAACAGATAAAACACACTCCTAGGTCCTCTACTATAGATACTGTTCAGCTGAAAGCTGGTAACTATTATCTCCAGAGAAGAGACCCACTTGCTAAAAATGCAGCACACTAAGGAAATTAAATAAAAGCACTTTATTTTCAGATTTTTCTATATGGAAGATAACTCCTGCCAGCGTTTAATTTTAATTAAAAGAGGAAAACTACACAAATATGAACTTAAAAGGGATAGTTTCAACAATAAAAAAATACTTACTCTGTAAGTAGTGCAAAACCATCAACACAAGACTATAGCTGCTTAAAGTACCACGACTGGCATCATTTATGTCATGATAACTCGCCCACTTCTTAACAGCCAGTACTAACGGACGAACTCTATTCTCAACTGCAAATAAAATAAATGCTTCTCAAAAAACACATTTAATTAGACAGCAATCAATATATATTTGTTCAAACTTGATCAACATAATGCTCCTGTATTCTAAGGTTACCTTTTATAAATATTTTATAGAATTTACTTAGTTATTCTACAACTACTATTCATCTTATAAAAAAATCAAAAAAATATTTGCATTTGGAAACAATCTGAATAGTAAGATCCACAGATACATCACAAGGGATATGCCAGGTAACTTGCAGATAAGACAAAACTGGATGCGTCAATCAATGAAGTAGTGCCACATTCTATTTTTAAGTTCTCTCCAGTTCATTTGTACTAATTGCCTGAATTAACTTGCTGCCAGGAGAGACCAAATCTAGCTTTTTTTCTTATTTAGTTTATATAAGCTTTGAGGGCAGGGAAAATAATTTTTCTGGTTGGAGGACACAGAGCTCATTCTTAAGTTTTCCTCAGGATCCGTGAAAGCAGTAATCCCTGCATCCAACCATTAATTTTACATTTACCTTGTCCTCAATAGCTTTTTCTTTTTTAGATAAGATCTGTTAGATACAATAACACATTAAATCAAGACATCTCCTTTTCATGAGGTTTTTTTTTTCAAGACAAATAGAATCATATTCCAGCTATGATCTTCTAAATTTCTAGGGAATATAGAGAGCCTTCTAATGAAGGCTGTAATGTGTTATAGGGAGATGTCACTCACCACTACCCCCTAGGGACCTTACAGCATACTTAATTTATTATTTACAGATACATTAAAACAGATCAACTCAGTCAGCTGCCTTACATGTTTTGGAATATCTTTTCTAACCTGATGTCATTGTACAAAGTTTTGTATTCTGCACATCAGGACAGGAATACATCAATAGGCAATTACTTCATCCAGGACAAGAAATATCCTACAACAGCACCAGATGCTGTGCTCTCCATTATTCTGAAAATCCTACCAAGTGTGGTATTTTCTCACAATCTATTCACAGTGGCTCAGCACACATGCCTCTGAGAGTGGTACTCTTCTTGGAATTAGTGTCCTAGACCTGGAAGATCTCTTAGAAACAAAGAGAGCTCCTTACCACCAGTCACCTCACCCTCTACATTATGCACCAGTGGTTAAACCAAGAGATATGACAACTACTACTACACTAACTGTAAGATGAAGAAGAATTACTGTACAGGTATCTATGAACATGCATTAACTGAAATGGGATTTTTCCATGACTGAGAAATACAAATAGGCTCAAATTCCAAACTGGACTATCTTTTTGCAGCACAACAGAAGAGATCTCTTTAGTTGACCTCATCCTGAGATAAGCTTTTCTGTCTGCTAGTACCTGTAATTAGTATATAACAAAATTAGTACGCAACACAGCCAGTAAGCTTTTCCTGATGCTCTTTCATCAGTCAACAAACTACCCCCTCAAGAAAATGCTCAGTAACATCATTTGCTCAAAGCTAAAAGTTCCAGCTTCCACTAATTGAAAAATACCAATGCCTTCTTAGGTGACAAACTGATAACACAACAGCATCAACTTCAGTTGCTAGCTCTGCTTAATCTACCTATATTTTCCCCTTCTGGGGGCATTCTGCTTCACTTTGCCTTATCATCTTCAATGCTTTCTACAGTACCAATCCACAAACATAAAAGGGCTGATTTCAAATAGACAGAAGAACATCCACAGAAATATTTGAGTATTTTTTAAATCATGCTCACTAAGATAACCAGTCCCTTGTTTGCCTAAGCATCTAATTTGTTCCAATGGAACAGAGATACCTCTCACATGGAAGATGTATGGGTAATTTTTTTTTTCTCATACCATGCAGGGCGAAGTCCTTCAGCCACACAAATTTTAAGTGAGCAGGCTAATACTTTTAATGCTATCCACCCTTGTTGATGACAACTTCTAAAAGTACGTAAAGAGATAGTCTGATAAAAAGTTTCCATTTACTTCTGTTTGCCTGAGAGTTTTCTTGTCCAAAGAAAATATGACAGATTATGCTTGATATAGCTTGCCTATTTAGGAAGGTCTCACACATTGAGGAGATAATTTTTTTTCAATCACAATTCTCCCTTGGTTACTAACTCACTCCTTGACCTCAAGAAAACAAAAAAATATTTATCCTTTATCAGGTGACAAAGTTAATTTTGCTGGCTTTAAAGCAGGCACCAAAGCAGAATGAAATAAGAGGTGGGACACTAGGACTCCCCCTTTCCACTTTTTTTCACACTTGGACTCTTATCTGCCCTGAAATGATTTGCTATGAGGAATAATCGAAATCTGTAGCAAAAGCTAGGAACAACTATATCAACATTAGACTTGGCAAAGTGACCCCTCACCTGTAACCATGAATGACAACAGGTTTCCTTCCAAACTTTAAAATAATCTTTCCCAGGCATACTCCTTCCTGGATGCATTAAGAAATTGTAGTTAACTAACTGATCCAGGACAAGCTGTGACCCTCCCAGTAACATGAATATGGAACACCGAAACTATTCTGCTTGAAGTAGTCAAAATTAACTAGTAAAGGTAACTTCTACTAATAGCTTCCTATCCTAAAGGGAAAGGAATTCCTGTATGCAAGAACTGAAGAAGGCGGTAACAGAAGCAGCACAGAAGGCCTAAGGTATCAGTACCTACTGGTACTGAAGCAGTATTTTGGATTTTCCAAGGAGAGACTCTGTAACAGCATACAGCCACACATACCTATCAGTGGCTGTAAAGAAATAAAAGAAACTGGAGATTTTGCCACAAGATGATCATTAGTATAATGAACTCATCTACAGAAGACTGAAGCAGCCCTTGTAGTAGATATGTGGACCTTAATATGAAGAATATTTCCTGAATATTACAATATTCAATTAAAAACATACTTAGCTGATATATCAGTTTTCTCCGTGTTTATAGTGAGCCACAAAAAGTTATCTTAATCTAATGCAGCTAAGTAGGTAATTATATATAGTAACTTAATATAGATTATTAGAATTAAATTGAATGTAAATACCATAATACAAATGTAAAAAACAAAGTTTATAGAAATAATGTTAAAAACTTACTGCGTGCGTAAGTTCTCAGAAGGAATGTATTTCTTATTCCTACAACACTGTTTACATTCAAGTCAAACTCCACACAGCTGTTGGTGAGGAGAAAAGAAAAAGAATTAAGCATGAGATATTCAGTTTCAGAATATTTATTACCTACTTAGTGACAGATGTGGAGAAATAACTAGGATAATACTCTAGAAACTTTCTTTAGAGTTTTGATGCTGTGAATTCTACTGATTTTGTTTATAGTACTTGAATTCCATTGTTATCAAAATGTAGTTCTTGTTTTACATAGAAAACACATGTAGATCCAAATTTAGACCTTAAGACAACATAATATATCAACTTATTTTTTTAACAAATCTTTCTCCTGACTAGATAATACACAATTTACTATGGACAACTTTTTATGCCAGGAAAGATTGAGATATTAGCTAATCATGCTGATGAACTGAGAAGGAGAATAACTGGAAGAGGTCAAAAGGTAAGAACCTCTTTTCTGCAATTATGGTCAGAGATAAATCAGCAAGCATTTTGAAATGAAAACTGTTTATTAGTCAATGGCACATTTTGTGTGGAGAAAAAAAAAGGCAACTTGTGAATTATAACTGTTTCAGAGTATGCAATTTTTAATAACTTTGATACTATTAATGGCAAATAAGAACAAGGGAAACAAGCAATACTTGCTTTATTTCTGTCCCTCTCAATTTTAATTTCATACTGCATATAAAGCATAACTGTTCACAGTACTCAATAAACAATATTAAATTCAGTCAATAATCCATAGCAACATTTTTACTTGCAACAGGACAACCCTGTTATTGACAAAGCAGTAGCTACCTGCAATGTACAGCTATTTCAATTTTATATATATCCAAGTCTCATTCACATAGTTGTTTGCCTGAACATTCCTTTGGATTCTCTTGAGCTATTATAGGGCAAACATAGACCTAGAAATGTATTAAACTGGATATAACACATGAATTTGATGCCTACAGTTTTTTTACATCATTAACTACATTAAAACATTATTTGTATCACAAGTATTACACAGTTTTAAACACGAATTAATATCAAGCATGACTTCCTAAGTACTACAATTTTAAAACATCTAGCAGTACAGAAAATAAACAAGCTTGAGCTACTGCCTGACAAATTTAAAATTAAGCATAAACACCAGTAGGAATATTACTTGCATACATGAATATAATAAAGAAATATGTCAGGCTGCATATGCAATTACAATTAACCCCCATTGACAAGATCACCATTTACCAAATGCTGATTAAAGGAGTTCCATTGCAGTTGTATTGTACTTCAATACAAACATTTAATAGATGTTGCAATTATGGCAAGTGAAAAAGGTTTTGTACTGTTGAGACTCAAGTTCTACCAAAAGTGCTAATGGAGAGGAAAAGTGCTAATGGAGAGGAAAAGTGCTAATGGAGAGGAAAAGTGCTAATGGAGAGGAAAAGTGCTAATGGAGAGGAAAAGTGCTAATGGAGAGGAAAAGTGCTAATGGAGAGGAAAAGTGCTAATGGAGAGGAAAAGTGCTAATGGAGAGGAAAAGTGCTAATGGAGAGGAAAAGTGCTAATGGAGAGGAAAAGTGCTAATGGAGAGGAAAAGTGCTAATGGAGAGGAAAAGTGCTAATGGAGAGGAAAAGTGCTAATGGAGAGGAAAAGTGCTAATGGAGAGGAAAAGTGCTAATGGAGAGGAAAAGTGCTAATGGAGAGGAAAAGTGCTAATGGAGAGGAAAAGTGCTAATGGAGAGGAAAAGTGCTAATGGAGAGGAAAAGTGCTAATGGAGAGGAAAAGTGTCAACTGCACATCAAACATAGCAGAAGAGGAAGCTTTTGCATCCTCCATAGTACGGAATTCTTGTTAATTAATCAAAGGCTTGTCTGGTAGCAGAGCCAACATCGGAATTATTTCCTTGGAAAGACTACAAAAAAAGATAAGTCTTTACATGCAATGGATCTTCCCTTACTTTTATAGCATTAAAAACAACCTTTAAGATGAGAAAGGAGAATACACAAACTTTCTCCTTTCACCAAATGAAAATAAGTAGGAAATAGCAATATTCAAGTATATATGGACAACTGACAACACAAGATTCCAGATACAGAGATAGCACCCATTGAATCCTACCACCTACTCCCAGCAACTGGGCATCAAGACAATTAGCTTTCACAGGAAACTTGCCATGTTTAGTTTCTGGTTTTGGCCCAAACAAGCTTAGTCCCCTGAGTACAGAATAT